GCTGTAGCCCATCTGCCTCAAAGTTCGACGTACTGTGCGTTCAGAGATGCTCTTCTGCCTACCTTGGTTGTAACGGGTGGTTATTTGAGTCACTGTTGCCTTTCTATCAGCTCGAACCAGTCTGGCCATTCTCCTCTGACCTCTGGCATCAACAAGGCATTTCCGCCCACAGAACTGCTGCTCACAGGATATTTTTTCTTTTTCGGACCATTCTCTGTAAACCCTAGAGATGGTTGTGCGTGAAAATCCCAGTAGATCAGCAGTTTCTGAAATACTCAGACCAGCCCTTCTGGCACCAACAACCATGCCACGTTCAAAGCCATTCAAATCACCTTTCTTCGCCATACTGATGCTCGGTTTGAACTGCAGGAGATTGTCTTGACCATGTCTACATGCCTAAATGCACTGAGTTGCCGCCATGTGATTGGTTGATTCGAAATTAAGTGTTGACGAGCAGTTGGACTGGTGTACCTAATAAAGTGGCCGGTGAGGGTATAATGGCGTATCGCCTGTATTACAGGGAGTTGTTCGCGGTCAGCTGTTTGCAATTGCAGCTCGCGATCAGAGCATTTGAGATATATTTTTTTATTTATTCTCGTTAAAGGTTTGTTTGATCTGAAATTCACTAATGGCATTGTCAAAGAATGGAAATCTGGAGCGGCAGGAGAAGCATTTTCAAACGGTACACGCGAGCTACGATAGTGATGTTTCTGCACTTAACGCGCTGCAAAAGTGCGTCCCTGCCTCCCTGTCAGCTCCCCCACTAAGGTAGGCCGTGGTTTCCTTTTCATAAAGTCAGTCTTGACTTTGTATCTCATTTATTTTTTCTGTTTTTTTCTGATTTAAAACATGAAATATCATTTTGACCTTGTTTAGAAGATAATTTTTGGGTTCTCATGTCACTCTCCTGGACCAAGCTTTCTGCGAACCAGCCATATGTCGAAAATATATACAGGATATCTAAGATCTGCCAATGCTAATTGAGCCATTTTATCTATACATTTGTGACACAATAAGCAGTCGTGTGATTCAAATGTTCCTCACTTTTACACCCACGCTTAAATGCACCTAACTTTAGACTTATATCACTCCTGGGTTACATAATTAAAGCGGTGACGCGTTTTGTAAAAGCCGATTATTACACATTTCCTTACCTTTGGTTGTTTTTTCGGGCTGGCTTGGGAGGCTGACAGTTCCATCCATTATTTTCTATGTCAGCCTTTATTTAAAGGACTCTATTATTAAAGCGAATTTGCTCAGGCCCAGTTAAGTAACCAGCTTGTTTTACAGAAGAGCAGAGTTCGTTGCGTTCCTTCGTTATCTGAGTAGTTCGTTGATTTCCTTCGTTATGTGAGTACTTGATCCCAGCCACTGACTGCCCTTTAAGGAAAACGGGAACTCAATGTGCCGTGTTGCAGCTTGTCCACATTGACTGTCCGAGTTGTTTCCCCCCGGCTACGTTGTCGACGAAAACACAGGGGTGGATCTTAAGTCACGTTTCCAGCTCCTCCTTACCACTATCGATCCATCGAACGCGACCCGGAAGTGGTTCTTGCGCCATCGTGCGAGAATCGTTCACAGAATGCGGACTTTTTCTCGCGTTTGGAAATTCACTCTGACGCCCATGCTCTGCTCTGACAGTGTGTGTGTGTTCGGAGAGGCGGTGTGCGCACTGAATTTCCGAACGGTCAGAATGATTTGGTACGTGCTTGGAGATTATATCTGAACGTGCCCCAAATATCAATGGCCTGTCAACAGGCCCCTCGCGGCTGAAGCCACAGGGCAGCCATCTTACGTTGCCATGGGACATAATTATTTAATACACTGTTATCAGTGCGTGGCTTCACTCCCCCCGGCGGCAAGTAAGCAGCTTTTTTCTTATACTGTATAGGCACATGCTACATTCAAGGAAAATGCGAGATAGGGCTTTTCTCACTTCCGACGAGGAAAAGTACACAAAAACGCCCCTTTGAACTTGGAGGTCCGAGTTGCGAAATCCGGAAAAAATAACTCCCGAGTTCACAAAGCGGCTTTCGTGTGACGTCACTCGACAATAACGACAAGGAGAAATAGACTGTGAATGGTGTAACATAATTTATAAGATTATCATCCCATATTTATTTTTATTTATTTTATTTTATTAGCTTTATTTTTTAAAATTATTATTATTTTGAGGAATTTCTCCATTGTGAGACAAATAAAGGTTTTCTTATCTAATTTTAGTTAGCACATTTAGTTATTCAAAATGTCTTTATGTAACATAACGTGATTTTTACTGACTTGGGTGAATATGCCATTATCTCCCTGCATGAATTTATTTGCTGAAATGAATGAAATGTGAAGACCAATGTTCCTTTATTGCGATAAATTAAGGAAATAATGAAGAAGCTTTTCTGGAGGTCAAAATTCGTTGCGATGAGTCAGTAAAAAAATCGCAAACAGCCACCTCGGTTTACATTCGACTCGAACGCTTTCAGGTCGGACCTGGGACATTCTGCGTGGCATAAATTAAACTTCCTACCTTCCTCGAATGGAGCAACAGAAACATAACACAGTGTGGTGTGGACATGTAGTTTCGATCCTCGGGCAGCACTGCCTCGCAAATAGGATTTTTGACGCAATTTAAGTTGCGTTAAATAAAGAGGTAAACTCCACCATTTACTTTATTCAACGGTTAGGTCTGTATTGTGTTCCAAAGAAATTAAGTACAATAACAACACCCCACTGGGTAGGACAAAGATGACCGTATCTGAATTTATTCCGTGAAAACCGTTGATAATCAATTCTTTCTGAATACAAATGAGCACATTCTCTTTTTATTCCTCTTTCTATTGGCCACGTGTTATTGTCCAACGTACGCAAGCACATTCTATGCCCTCTTCCTGTTTCCACAGGCACTTTCGCTGTCCTCTGCCTGTTTAAAACTGTGCCATTTTCCCAAAGTGAAGGAAGGACTTTCTACTACTTGCTATATCATATGATATTACAATTTGGGAAAATTGGATGCCGACAATATACACTATATCGAGAAATCATTTGATCATATTTTTTTGTTGTAATTCCGATTTATTCATTCCCAAGAGTGAAAACGAAAAACCTATGCGTCGCACATTACCGTACAGTATGTGGTTAAAATACAGCTGCCTGTGATTATAAACCTGGCCAGCAGATGGTTACATGTGCATAGCATGAAAACGGCACCTAAACGACCAACCTTTCAAATACAACAGTTATAATCGGTGTTTGTGTAATTTCTTTATTATTTTAGTTTGGGTAGACATAGTTAGCTGAGTGTCTCTTCTGTTTGGGGCAGTAGCTGATCCCAAAAAGACTTGATTAGTAATCAAGTCTTTGTAATCAATTATTACACTGGCTTTTGGCCCCTGAACCGACGCCCTGTTTCTAAAACCCCGCCTTCGCGTGCTTTAACATCGGACACATGTAAATTGAAGCCAACCCTCTTCTTGCACATGGGCGGCACACAGAAAATAAGAAAGGAAAAAAACATGGGCAGCAAATATCAGACACTTCCGCGCGCACACAAACACACGCACACTCACACGCACACACGCTCCGACGTACGACGGCAGACAAAAAATAAAAACTAAATACACAACACTCGTACAATATAATGTTTTTTTGTTTGTTTTTGTTTGTTACACACGGGGAGTTATTTTAAACTTGCTAGGCAAAATAGTTAGTGTATGCTCGCCTCAATGTCTCCTGAGACGGAAACCACTGGCCAGATTTTGTTGACAATTTACATTTAGAAATACTGGTCTCCACCATACAAATATATTCATGCAAATAGTGCGAGAAATATTTAAAAATCATTTATAGGGATTATTCTGCCAAACACTATCTTCTAAAATAATAATTTTTAAAAATCAGATGCTTTTGCATTTCCTCTTTCTCTCAGGAGATGTCGCTGCTCCATTCCACCTGACGACCCTGTCGTGTTTATGTATGGAATTTTATGTGTTTATACATCGCTTATTGTTATTACTGCTCATTACTCAATATACACTGTTAAACTTAGTATAAGCATACAAAAACATCTGATGGCTTATTTTATTACTGCTCATTGCTACTATATTGAACTGTGAATATAAGCACACAAAAATAAAACCCATCTGCAGCAATTAATTTATAAATATTTTCTCCTTTTCGTGTTCGTCTTTGTACAATGTTTGCCTGTATGTATGATCCTGTTGTCTTTGTTACTATTCATTTATTTGGTCAAGACAGAGGAATTAGTGGGATATTAAGAATTTTGTAGCTAAGTATGGCAACGATCTAGGACAATATACATTCCTTCATAATCTGCGATGTGCCTTCGTAAATATATTATGTAATATACAATAACAGTACATTTGTGCAATATTTTTGACTTCTTCCTTTCGAAAAGATAGATGTATAAACTTTCAATGTTACCAACTACTGAATAAATACTTGATGTTGTTAATGGTGGGTCTATTTGTTGATAAATTTGCTAACCTGCCTGGTCGTCTTATTATTATTATTTTTTTAAACCTTGCATTGATTCAAATATTTAGAAATTCACCTGGCTTTCCTAGCAAGATTGCACAAATAAAGAGACAGTGTCGGCAAGTAATATATATATTTTTAATTGGTAAAATTATTGTTTAAAAATCTAGACATAAAATATTGTTATATTCGTAACCATCTTAATGATAATAATATTGGTGTTGTTTTGAATGCGATTGTTGAATTATTAAAACGTAGGCTCTCAAGTGGTCAAAAACAGAAACCAGAACATTTTCTTTATATCCAATTTTGAATATTTTTTGCGAGAACAGCAGGAGGGCGCAGCAGTGGTTGACTGCTGAACACGTCCACATCACAGTGCAGAGGTCGTGAGTTGGAATCCAGCCCCAGCCCTCCTGTGTGCATGTTCTCCCCGTGCCCGCGTTGGATTGCCCCGTTACAATTTTCAGGATTCTTAGAAGGCGGCACGGTAGAAGACTGGTTAGCACACGGGTGACCAACATATTTGAAAGTGAAAGCTACTTCTTGGATATCGATGACTGTAATGGAAAGGGCTACCAATTTTATACCCACTTCTGAACTAACTAAATTGCCCTAATGACCTTTTCATATTGTTAAAGCTATGTTTGTATGTAAATTATATTCATTTGTGCAATGACACGGATCCTGTTAATGGTTTGTCATAATAGGTAGGGAACAGGTCAATAGCAATATGCAACACCTAATTTTTATAAAGGGAGTAACGCAGTAGACCTATGTATTTATGTATATTAAGTATTGGCATCTATTTAATTTCAGTTAAATTACTTATCCAGTTATCCAGTTTCCGTAAAATCAGCATAAAGCAGTTCAAAAGTACTGTATGATGAGCTTTGAATGAACCCACATAGCTAAACTTCATGCTGCATGACTTTAAATGTGGATACTGGCCAATTGAAGTTCATTCTACACATCAGTGGTTTTCATGACAAATACGCGAAAGTATCTCAGTTTCAAAATAAAACTGAATGGGTCATTGGATGTCAAGTTCTGTACCCTGACATATTTTAGTTACAATGCTGAGATTTGGGGCAATGACGACTGACATTTTGTGAGTTCACTTAATGATTCCAACTGAAAAAGGGCAATCAGCATCATCCACAAAGTGTCATGACAAATGTTGTTGTTTTAAATGTGGTCCGACCTTGTCTTATTTGTCTGTTTGTCACCTGTTCTCATCAAACCAGTCTCTTCTGTCGAGCAGACAGCCCCCCTCAACCACTCGTCTTCTCCTGGTGTCATTCGATGTCTCACTTTGCTTGTACGTAGTTGCAGGGTTTCTTTATTCATCATCATTGTTTCTGTCATCATCAATCGCCTTTCCCAGAGTATTGTCTTGCCTCCATGTCTGGTGAGTTTATTCCCAGTTTGATGTTTGTTTCATTCAAAGTGCCTTGTGTGCCTTGTCAGATTCCTGTACTCCTTGCCCTCTTGCTGTTTGTCCCCTGGGAACACTCGGCACCACAAAAACCTTCATGATGTGATATAAAGTAGTTGGACACCTCAACATCATTTTACTCATCTTCTTCAAATCATTTTATTTTAAAACAACATGGTCCATCAACCAAGTTAAATAAAACTGTGACTGTCAAACACAGTGGTGGGCCGTGCATTTCAACCTTAGGCCTTCAGTGACGTCACATACATTAACACAATATAGGCTCGTCAAGCAGCACTTAATTTCGGGAGCATTTAAAACCATCAAGTATGCATTCACAATTAAGAGCAGGAAACTACATTTACAGATATTGTCAAAAATAAAAAGATGATTTAAAAATACTAATATAAAATACTTAATATAAAACACCAACCAAACAATAACAAAACAAACTATTCTTTGAAAATAAAGTTAACAGATCATTTGCATTTTGAGAATAGGCTGTACAACAGCAAATAACTGAAGATGTTGAGCAGCTGAGATTGAACGAACTTTAGTGCACGAAGGTGACTACAATAATAATAATAATAATAATAATA